GATATGTACAGTGGTGCCTCGCTAGACGATTGCCTTGTGGGATGAAAACCCACAAGACGTTTGGTTTTTGCGATCACTATAGTGCCTTGCAAGACTTTTTTTTAGACCGATGCTTCGCAAGACTTTTTAGTCCGATGCTTCACAAGACTTTTTTCTTCTTTTTTTCTTTTTTTGAGATCAAGGCATAGGGAACCTCGCAAGATGATTTTTTCACAAGACAACTATTTTCACGGAACAAATTAAAATCGTCTTGCGAGACACCACTGTACTTGAATTATAGTAAAATCTAAAATCTGCATGCTGTGTGTATATATAAACATACAGACATTTTTGCAATAGTACCCCCATTGTACAAACTGCCATCTTAGCAGTCTAAGAAAGCCCCCAGGGAATTGCACATTCATTCCTCAGGATTTAGTGCCCACACTTCTGGTTCTTTGTGGAGATGGTTTTGTAAGAGAATGATTTCTTGCAGTTACTGATATGTGGTCATTTAACCATATTCACACAGATGAGGAGAAAGGACATTGAGGGTCGCGGGTTTGCTGAACACACCCAGGCAAACATCCATGCAGTGCAATGGAAATAAATTAACTTTCTTTGAAAAGTACTTACACAGCTCCTGCCCAGTAACCACTTTTCAAAGTTAAATTTCTCATTCCCTTTCATTTTTCCTTTTCGAAATCCCCAAACCAGTGTGTGCTCTCTGTAGATTAATCGTCCACCAAATTTCCGTTTTTCATGTCTCAAATATGAGAAGGGGAGGAAGTCTCTGGGAAACAGAAATATTTTTATATTTCTCCTCCTCTAAAGGCCAGACCCATTTTTTAAAAAATATGCAAACACACTCTCTTCAAGCTGAATTTTGTATGCAAAGTTTGAACTAAAATCTCTGCTTTATAATGGGGGGGGGGCGACCCACTGAAAACTGGGATTTTAAAGGAATGCTGACAGACTTTTAGAGCAACTACAGAGCTAACAGGGGCACCTCTGTTAAAAATAATCTTTATCTTCAGAAGTAAACTATAGAGGAGACAAATTCTGTGTTTGACAGAAATGCTACTGCAAGTGCTTGTAAAAAAAAAATAACATATTCTATAAGACCTCAGGGTTTACTCCAATAAGGAGGGGAAAAGAGATGCGTCCCACTGTGAGCACACAGTAAGACTGTTTCATATAAAAAGTTGGTAATTAGTCCCTGAGTGAATAAAGTGGAAGAGATAAGAGATGGGTACTTACTAAGGCAACACAAAACGCATTCCCCCCCTCCCCCTCCCCTTATAGTTTTAGAACTGAACGGCTATACAGGAAGAAAGAGGCCATTTCCATCCATGCTAATTGTAAAAGTCTTTCAGAACTCGAAAATGCTGATTTCTTACATTATTCTTTGGCACCAACACTCTCAGTTCTCTTGTACTGTATTTGGATGTATCAGGTACCTGGATGCTTTGGGTGGGGGAGCAGAAGGGCTTTCAGATTGTCTTGTTAAAGTTACAGATTTGATTTCCTGACGCTGCTGACATCCACAGAGTTCTGCTAGCAGTGCATTTATATTTCCCCAAAATTTGCCATTAGTTTTTCACAAAGACTTTTTTTCCCTGAAGGTAAATAATTTTGTATAAATAAATCAAATGCCTCTTCTGCTGTTGAAGCAGCCAACGTCTATGTTAAAGCATCTCCAAAGAAGGTTTTCTTGATGTCTCTCCCTCAACTGCTTAAAATGTAGAAAGAATCAAAATTATCATTCAATATACATTTTAACGCATAACGTATTACAGATGTTGCTATGCAAAAAGCCACATCTAGCAAGACACACTTTATTATAATTTTTGCTCTATTTTCACACTCTGTAAAAGACTCCAAAAGTACTCTGAGAGGTATAATTTATTTAACATTTTCCCTTCAGTATTATTTGCGCCAGCATAATGTCCCTCACTACCTTGCTTGTTTTTATAAATCAGACTGTTAGAAGACTTATTTTTAAGACATAAATTCTGAAGACCAAAATTATGCATAAACTCCACTACGAAATGGGTGATGGACAGCACAACTGACTCTCCATTATGCATTTGAACTTCCATAGTCATTTCTTTCAGGGTGATGTGGGTCTTCTTTTATTTTACCTCAGTAGGATTTGTTTCATCATTTATTATCAGCAGCTGCAAAAGTAATGGGATTTGCCTCAGGTTTGGTAGCATGATCTCAGAGACACCCAATAATTTCTGAATGGAGAACTCCACCAGAGCAGAACTCAGGCTGTTCTAAAATGTAAGCTGTTGTTTTGCACATACACTTTTAATCACCACCAAGAAACCAGCTCTGTAGAGAAACTTGAGAGGTGATGTTAGCTATGAGAGTGGTGTAGTTTTGAATACAAAAATGCTCAGTGCAAGTAACCAATACTTGAAAAATCGCTTTATGAAAAAGTAGAAGTTGAGGAAGTGGTGTGAGGAAGTAGTGCAACATCACAAAGATTAACTGGGTTAAATCCAACTTCACAACATTATTTCCTTTCCCTCTGCTTCTGTACCTATAGTTCTTCATGCCACCCAAAATAATCAGCCTTAGAAGGTTTTCCAGCTCTCCCAATGCAAGTTCAGAGAACTGATACTTGACCACCCCACTCCTGAGGATTCTGGCATAATGAATCCCAAATATACATAGTTCCAAATATTTTCACAATAGTGTCTACTGCAATGCAGAAGGCAACATCCAACGGTGGTCCTTCACTGCCACAGTGGTGGAAGCCCTCCTCAATATAGTCCCTCTCCTGTGTGTGTCCCAGACACCAGATATGGATTGAGGGGTGAGGGGGGAACGTACTGACTGGGCCTTACATGTGTCCAACATCTCCACCATCCATTTCATGGCTTTAGGTGTAAAAACTGAATATGCTCCACAGGCAAGGTTTGGTTGTTGTCAGTTTTATAAGCTCTGTCACAGCTGCCGAGCATGTATCTAAAGCGACTGGTCCTTAGTGCCGTTAGAAATGTTTAACCAAGTGAGAAGTACATCATTTTTAGCTGCTTCATACAGCATGACACTTTAGTGAAAATGTCTTCAGTCAAAAAGGGGGTGTGTGTCCCTACATCTATTGCAGTGACCTCTATCAACTGATTAAAGTCACTTAAACATTTGGACACAATTCCACATCCACATACATTTAAAGCCTTGCATCAAACGGAGCTGCTTTTAACGTGGTCAGAGATAGAAAAGGAGGTGAGGCTGAGCTGAAAAGATGAAAGAAAAAAATTAAGAGCAACATATGAGGGTTAAAATTGCACTGAAAGCGGTGGTGTCTTTACAGTCTGGTCTTAATGGTTTTGTGGGCAGGGAGCTTTTTATATAACAACGTGTAAATTACTTCACTTACCTTAAATGTGGTGAGCTGCCCCTGCTGCCATAATCAGGGGAGAGGTGGCTTCTTGCTCAACCCCAGAACTGGCACTGCTAACTGACTCTGCTTAGAGGGGCTCCAGACCTCTGCCCCAAAGTCCTGTCTCAACAGCAAGACTTATTAAAGTGTCGGAGAGATTCCTTATATTGTAAGATCACATGTACTACTGATCTTTTTTTTTTTTTAGTCTGAAATAAGAGAGCAATGAGACAGGTATTTGTCGTGCTGTTGGGGGCGTGTTTCTCACCATTCTTTTCAATATTTATTCCATCAACAAAACTGCTGCATGTCGGTTCAAGAGATAGATAAGAGCGTGGTCATAATGACAGAGAAGAGTGAGGGATCAAGAAGGCTATCTGTTAAGTGGTTCTTGAAACATACGTTTCTGGGATAATTAAACTTTTCTGTGTGAACTTCTGCCGTGATTTGAACGCCAGGGTGTTTACATCAACCCAGGACAAACTTCTTTATGGTCAGCATCCTAGTTCTTGTCATTTCCATCTCGTTCCTTCTGCCTTCCAGCTTTTGGGAAACTTCTGTAGCCGTTTCAAAGCGTTTGGCACTCCAGAACACCCTAACCAAAAAGTCAAGCTACTAGAGCAGTTACCTGAGGCAAGAGGAGGGCAATCTAGCAGCTGCTTTTTTAAAAAAGGATTTAATTAAGATAATGAAGCAGGTGAATTTTTAGAGTAAATACTGTAGTTTACTTCCGGAAATAGCCCCCCCCCAAAAAAAACCTTTGTGTGTTGGAAGAAAAAGTAACATCGCTGTTTCTTAAAATCATCCAATGTACTTGTCAATCTACCTAAAGGACAGTGGTTTCAATTCAGGGGTGTGGAGGGGGAAGAGGAAAAACAGTAGTAATTGAAAAATATATTTTTCTGGGTTTCAGGTCAGGCAGATTATTTTGGCAGTCACTGGAGTGTACCAGATGGTTCATTAACATAAGGGTAGACAAGTCAAAGGCTTTCAGAATAATTTAGAAAATGTCAAAAAGAAACAAGAACCTTGTCATTTTTTATTAGAATTAACTACAGCATATCCTGGACAGAGATTTCACCTTGGGTCAGAAAAATTAATACAGAATTATATGAATTGTGTAATATGTCGGGTTAACGTTACGCCTTCCTCTGGGGACTCATTTGCTGGCAATATATTACAGTCCTGTATGTTAGGAATCTTCGACCTTTCCTTCTATAAGATATGTGGAGGAGGGAGGAAAAAAAACAGTTGACCTTGCTCGAAATCCATTGGTGTCTAATTGATCTGAGGTATATGCAGAATTTCAACAAGAGCCTCTACTCAAGCTAGACTGTGATCATTTTCCCAAGAAAATCAGCACAGGGATTTTGCTGAATATTCAGCAACATGTAAAGTGTTCTTTTGTCAAGAGGAAAATGCATCCATTAAGTAAAATACTGTTTCAATAAACAGGAATCAAAATGTGGAGTTTATTCGTTTTTAAATTGTGATTGTGTTGTTGTTGTTGTTGTTGTTGTTGTTGTTGTTGTTGTTGTTGTTGTTATTATTATTATTATTGCTGCCTGCTGCTGCTCTTGTTCTTGTTATTATGATTATTATGGTTATTCAACTTCTTATTCAGATGTCAAAAACCTAGAGAACTTCCAGCTGGTGGAAGGTGTTCAAGAGCAAGTGAATGCTGCTTTGCTGGACTACACAATGTGCAACTACCCGCAACAAACAGACAAATTCGGGCAGCTCCTCCTGCGACTCCCAGAAATCCGAGCGATCAGTATGCAGGCAGAAGAATACCTCTACTACAAACACCTGAATGGGGATGTGCCATGTAATAACCTCCTCATTGAAATGCTGCACGCAAAGAGAGCATAAATTATATCCTTTCACACAGCTTGTGCTTTTTCGAAAATAAAAGGGGGGAATACTCTGAACTGCTGCAAGCAATCCTAATTAAAAGAACTTGCTTTAAAGGAACTTCGTGGGAGGGGGGAAATTAAAATGGTATAATAATCAAATTCTTAATAGTAATTAAGTGATGTATCAGGGTATTTGTATTGCAAAACTGTGAATCAAACGCTACACAGTCTCCCCGAAAGAACTTGTATAGGACTTTATTACTGGTGTGAAACGAGATTGCAGACAGATGTGGATACCTTTGCCTGTGTCAGACAAAATAAAAACAAAATAGCAACTCCTGTAAATTAAAATGTTCCCTATGACCACTACGGAGAAATGTAGGAGGATCAAGTGCTGTCTGTATTATTCAGCCAACAGATCAAGGGGATCTGAATGCACTACATCCCTTCGTTGGTTAGCAGGATTGAAAACTGCTCGGAAAAGGATGCAAAAACAGCAGTCACCTTTTGCCATCCTTCCAAGGACAAAATATGTATTACTCTTTCCAAAAAAGGAAGAAAAATGGATGTGTGGCCCTAATTTGTATGAAAAGATCTACAGTAGGCCATTTTCGTTGTGTGTATGCCTAGGAGCACTACCAAAATAAACAAAACAAGCCTGGTCTTGGGGACTATCTGTGACTTGGGCCTGCAACTATAGTTAATACTATGAGAAAAGAGCATTTGTTCATAAGATTTGTGTGACATTCTCAAGCTGTTTCCAAGGTTTCTTTTTCATCATTGTGTTCATGTCATTCAGCCAGGCAACAAAGGAAGGAGAAAGAGCTGCAAGTTGTGCTGGAAGTAAGCTGCTCCAGAGCAGCTGCTGTGGGACCATGTTTCCAGCATACTGGTTCAAGCACTGTTGGAACGGCTTCTCAAAGCTTTTAGTGCCAAATGTCTCTTGGCCACCATCTTAAAATAAAACAATATTTCTTCTCAGAGATTTTAAGCAGCAGCATCACTGGATCCACTGCATTTGATCTGCAATCTAGTTAAACAGAATTACTTGGATTTCACAAGGTAACTTAGTTCACATGACTTTGAATTGTACCCTACTGGCCATCCAGTTTTGTGACCTTGTCCAAGGTCTTGTGTGAGTATGTGTACTGGTATAAAGGGCAGAACAAATCTTTTGGCTCAAAATTGTGAATTAGCTGATCAGACAGCTGAAGAACAGGCCTAGACAATTTGTGAGCCTCCAAGTTTCACGAGCCATGGATATGAATAATCATTTTAAACCCTGCATTAAATGGTGGACATTACAGCAGGGAGCATTGTGGGACATTTTAAATGGCAGCTTGTAGACCAGAAGTGGGGAATATGTCATTCTCCAGATATCCTTAGACTTCAATTCCTGTCATTCCTAGTCAGCATAGCTAGCAGTGAAGAACAATGACTGTCATTCTCCAGATATCCTTAGACTTCAACAATGAGAATTACAGCCAAATGTCTCTAGAGGAACACCATTCCTGCTATAAATGCAGGACTGGCACTAAAGTCCTTAGACTTCACTGAGGCCTTTGGGCCCCAGTAGCTGGCTAAAGCTATCAGGTATTGACACGAGACACTGCTTGAATACTGAAAAAATGGTTTGCTACTGGATTTTACTAACTTGCCAAATGTAGCCTGGCCTCTACCCTTGATTAACCAGGTACAGCTCAAGTTGTTTAATGCATATACTCTCTTTGGAAGATTTTTTTTATTCATTTGGTCTGCCCTGCCCTACCAGTTTCTCCCTTGTCTCTACCTCTTTGCCACATATCCCTGGTCTGGCCCGGGGAAGTCTTTTTTGCAAAGTTCCCAACATTTGTTGACTACATCTCAGGGACTACACCGTTGCAAGGAGAGAATGCAAGGCATCATACAATCATACTTTCTCCTGCATATTGATGTAGCAACCTGCCCCACCCACTTATCAGAAATCCAGGTACTTCAGCTTTAACTAACATCTGGCTCAAGCGATAGGTGTTTTGAAAAGCCAATAAAACAAACATGTTTTTAGCTATGCAAGGAACAAAAATATACTCGCATTGTATAAGCTGATGGAGTTGAGCAAGCTGGTTAGTTTTACTGGTAGTCTGAAGAACAATTGTTTTACCCCCTTTTTTCCTTTTTAAAAAACAGTATGAACACTCAGAAAGCACATTTTAAAGCAGATTATTCCAGGAGAAACCTTTTATGAGAGGACAGAAGTGTAATACTGCCATGTCTATGTAGACCAAAGTCTGCTGCAGAACAAATAGTGAAGAAGGATGAATAATTAACTCTCTATCCAAAATCAGTATTATTAGAATGTAGTGCCACAGTGATAAAAGCTTTGCCTTATTTCAGAATTCTGAATGGTAATTGTACAGATGAGGATCAACATATGTTTGAGAGGGGAAAGTATTAATACTTAACATTTTTCAGAAAAAAAAAAGATTTATCATGTTTACATTTGTTAGGTCCTGGTGGGTGGGGAGGGACCTGTGATGATGATGTTGCAAACCGTGATTTCCTTAATGTTGCTTTCTGATTGGTAATTTGTTTTACCAGTACTTAATTACTGTATGTCGTGAGACACTAAAATCAAAAAGGGAATCTCACTTAACGCTTTAGTTTTATTTTTTATTTTAGATTATTGGCTGCACCATCACTTGTAGAAACTGTAAAAAAAAAAAAAACTTCTGCACCCTTTGCTTTTTTGTTTGTTTTTTTGTTTTCATGGAGATTGCTGGCTTTTAAATAGTTTATTTATACTGTATATCACAGTTTTCATTGTAGACAATTATAATGCTAATTTATTGTTCCTTGGTTTCATCTTTATATTAAAAAAAATAGCCAGAATAAAGAAGCCAAATATATGTGTTTATTACAGCATGTCCAAGTTATAGTTCATAGTTCAGGGACATTCAAAGGTCTTCACATTTTCAGATCATTTGCTTGATTAAATGTCTGTAAATCCTCATGATCTTAAATGTAGATTATTTAAAATCTGTTGTAACTTTTGTGATTTGCACCTTCCATTGATCCATGTGAACCTAGAAAGGTGCAGTCTTTACCTGAAGATTCTCTTTTAAACAGTGGACATTGTATACCAAAGACAGCATCTCTTTTCTTTTGTATTACTACAGAACACTGTGTTTTATTATCACCATTCTTAATTTGTTCCAATGTTCTTTCTAAGGGTGGATGAGAACAACCCATGCAGGGGGTAGATGGGGCGAGGGATGAAGAGTGGGAAATCATTGTTCATGCAAAAGAGATTTTCTTGGGTCACAAACAAACCCTGCTACTTGTATGTCTGCTCTTCCATAACCAGAGATGACGATAGGGGGAGATGACATGATTATGAGCCAATGCATGAAACAAAACTCAGGTATCCTTGAACAGTAACACTGCTCCAAAACGTCGCAATGAATTCTCTAATCACAAATGCATACAAGAAATACATACTATTTGGTGAAGTCACACACAAATAATGTGAAGAAAACAGTGTTATCAATTCATTATATTTGAAAACTGGTTCATAAATGCAGTTATTAATGACAAGTAGGGTAGACCCAGTAACTCAACAAATCCACTTCAAAACTGGTTCATAAATGCAGTTATTAATGCCAAGTAGGGTAGACCCACTAAAAGAAGGAACTTGTAACTCAACAAATCCACTTTGATGCAGTAGGTCTATTCCTGTGAGACTAATAGTTGGATTTAACACTTTCATGCAAAAAAATACATAAAACCAGTATCCATATTCATGCATATAGTTGGATTTAACACTTTCATGCAAAAAAAAAAACAAACAAACCTAAAGCCAGTATCCTCTTTGATAATCATGCATACAGAATTTCATCTGTGGAAATCACTGCAGCAGAGATGCTGCAGAGATGCCTATCATGTGTCTGGTCATATACAAGTAGCACCTCATATGATCAGTATGTCAGCTTCTGCAGTTGGATTTTTGCACACATGTACATACTGAACAGGATACTGGGCTTTCCCTCCCACCCCCTTAAAGTTCAGAATGAATTAATCTTAACACTGGAAAAATTGTCTGAATTCAGGATGAACTGAACACCAGACTTAGAAAATTAGAAACTGAGAGGAAGGAAAATTGACAGATTTGTCCATACCTGTCCATGATATGGATGGTATCAGGTATTCAGCCCTAATAACTTCAAATGCAGCATTGAAAAACTGTTTGTGGCAGGAAATCCCAACTGCAGCTTCCATTGCAGTGAAAATGTAGCAGCTAGGAGCCAAAGAACCAGTTCTACAAAGTCAAAGGGGCTTCATCCCTCTGTGCATCCATCCCACATGTCATAACCTCTTTTGAAGCAAGAAAGGACTTCCAAAAGGAGCTTGCCTGAGGATCTATTCTTTGAAGGGACAGGGAGCTCAAGCTTTTGGGTGCATCTGAGGTACCTCTGAGAATCCTAATCCAAAGCAAACAGAACAATTCACCAGCTGTTTGTCTATCACTGCCCCCTGTCCAATGGTAGGGCCATTCCTTGACTCCATCAATGTGAGGCTACAAGGGCTAGGATCCATTTGCACCATGCATACAGCGTGACACTTCATCTGTAGTGTCTAGTGTGTGCTTTGCCATTGAACAAGCCAATGACTGGCTACAATGGGGCTTATACAGCATTTGCACAATGACATACTGGACATCTCTATATCCCAGCTCTGGAAAAGTCCTACCACTAAAGCAACAGAGCATTGTGCAAGTGCAATAGAGTAATAGTATTTTGGCCTAAATATAGCTGCAGCTAAATCAGCTTTGTCTGCAATGTTGGGAACTATGGCTTGGGAAAGCCGCTGATATAAATATTATCGAAAGTGTCCCTGTCAAGAACCTGCCCTGGGTTCTAGCATTTTTAGAAGCAGCCAAGATCAGCAGATGGGGATATCAGACTTGGATACGCCTGTACAGGCAATATTTCAATGTTTATTTCACACCAGACATGCTTAGCACCACTGTGAAAATGGTTGACAAAAGTTCACCTTACATGTTGCATACACACCAGAAAACTATTTAAAATAAAATATAATAAAATAAATAAAAACCATCTGTTCATGAGTATTTAAAGGTAACTACAACATCCTGTAATTTACAGACTCTTATGGGAACCCAGGATTTTCTCCCTCCCCCTCCAGTTTCATGTCCTTTTTTTGTAAAAACCCTCACTTTCGTTGTGGTTGAAACATCAGGACAAATTACACTTAAAGGCTGAAATGGATGTAAAACCACTAGGAAAGTACAGTTATCTGTGGACAAAACCAGATACTTAATACAAGGATGTTAAAGGCAAAGAAGGATGAGTGAAGTGGCAGAACACACATCAGTCAGTATCTGTAGTTCCAAAAATTCCTCCAACTGCCCATGTTTGCAAAACTAATGTTAATTGTTAACCACTTTGTAAGCAGACATTGACAATTGCTTTATTGATTGCATATTAGTAAAAACAGACAAACACAAAGGTTTTGGCTTTGGCTGGTTTCTTATAGTTGTTCAGTGTTTGTAACCAGACAACCTGTAGTGTCTGAATATTTGTATTACCAATATGTTCTGCAGCTGCCTGGCATTTGAATCCATGCAACCCTTTTAGAATGTGCAGTTAGTTACTTGTTAAAAGTTCTCTTACTGTATCTGTGAAGTTCATGTTGTCTCATGTCAGTTCCTGCCAGGAATTTTCTCAACATCAATGGATTTTTATTTCCCGTATTTCAATAAATATTGATATGGCCATTCTGATCATTTTAAAATTGTTTTTATGACAACCTCCTTGTAAAAAAGATGTTGAGTGTCTTAATTTTTTTTCTCAAAAAAATCCATTCTTCAGCCAGCCAGGGAAAGCAGAACTGAACCAGGAAGGTCTGTGGAGATGTATGAAGCCTTTCATTTCAAACTGTGGGTTAGCACATTCCACTGAGAATTAACAAAGTTAATGTCCTTGACTACAACTCCCAGAAATCCTGGCTAACACAGCTAGTGGTGAATGCTTCTGGGAGCTGTAGGCCAAAAACATCTGGGGACCCAAAGTTGGAAACCACTGAGCTATATGAATTGCATTGCATGTAGTCCTGGCATTTCCAGCTGAAATAATAGATTCATAGAAAAGTGCAGTTGGAAGGGGCTACAAGGCCATCAAGTCCAACCCCCTGCTCAGTGCAGGAATACAATCAAAGCATATCTGCCAGGTGATTATCTAAGTTTTTCGTGAATGCCTCCAGTGTTGGAGCACTCACCAACTCCCAACATAACTGGTTGCACTGTCATACTGCTCTAACAGAAAGTTTTTCCTGATATTCAACCGAAATCTGGCTTCCTTTAACTTGAGCCCATTGTTGAGTGTCCTGCACTTTGAGATGATCTAGAACAATGTTTCAAGGAAGGAAATTTGGT